CCCAGGCACGGGGCTCACCATGCTTCTGAGTTAAGAGATGCTTAAGAAGATATGTCCTTGACAATGCCTTTGAGAATTTGTTATGAGATATATCCCTCTGCTGGTGGTATCCAGGAGGGATAGATGTCTCTTTCATTCTTCAGATGTATCTCAAAGAAGTCCAGATGTCAGACTTTCTCCATTCTAAAATCTTCACTGGGATCTTGCTTATGTGGGCAAACATGTTGGTCATACCTTCCTCTGAGATTTTGAAATTTTGAATATGCAGTGTCAGTCACAAGGCTCAGAGGTTTGTTTTTCTTGTAGCATGGTGCTCTTTATTGTAAGGATATTGAGATGACAAGGGACCAGCTAAAGGGACTACATAGTTATGTGTGTTCCACTTGCATGTCAATGACTCTTAGTTGTAAAGGTCTCAACTCCAATATTGAGATATTACTTAATGAGTCTTCTAAATGTGTCGTGTTACTAGAATGTTCTGGCACCACAGATGGAAGCAGAACTTCTGTCCTGACAGCACCCAGCCTGCATGTGCATGTCTTCAAGTCAGTCAGTCTTGAAAAGGAGCCATCACTCCTTCCTGAACAATTTTCATATCCTTTTGCTTGCCAAATGGTAAACAAAAAAAAAAAAAAAATCTAAAAATGGTAGAAATGTTTAGATTTTATCTAGCTACAAACCTAATTTTAAGATAGCCAGAACTCATAGTGGTTTTTGAAGTTTTTCACTTGACCTTGATTTCACCATCAGATAAAGAGAGACTGTTGAAATTAGGATAATGAGCCATTGCAGTGTGCCATCTGCCCAGCCATTGTGGAGTATTTTTCTAGGCATTCCAGAAAGATTTTTTTGAGAAAAATTTGAATGAGTGTGGGATTTTATAGGGAAAAAAAGCTAAAGAGAAATGTCAGTTTAGAGGAGAATGTGGTAGTTCACACCTATATAATTGGTTCATTTGAAAATTATTGAAGAAGTTAATATTTTTTAGTCTGTGTCCAAATTTTCTTATCTTGGTTTAGGTGCTTCCTGTCCTAGTGTTAGGCATTTTCTGCCCTTACAGAGGAGATTAAAACTTTTAGCTGAAGCTATGGTAGTAAACCAGCTCAGTGTCATGAATTTTTGTGATTTTTAGAAGTCTGACATCAGCTGTCCTTCTGCTGTTTTAGATCTCAGATGGTTGAAAGTGTTTTTTATTTTTTCTTGCTATTTCCTCATTCTCTTTTCAGTGCGTTTTTTTTTTAGTTTTTTCCCTAGAAAGAATTGAAAAGATAAGGATAGCTGTTTTAATTATTCATTATAAGGCCAGAATTCAAGTATATCCCATTCACCTGTCTAGTAGGAGCCAGTGACCAGTTCTTTGCATAGATCTCAGCTGCCAGGTCTTTGGCACTATATCAGCATATCTGCTATTGATTTTTTAAAAGAGAACTGTGGGAACACTTATTGTTCCTAAAAGAAAGTAATGTGGAAGCCAGTCTCTCCTGTTGAAGTGTGAGGCACGTTGGATGGAGCTCTGAGCAACCTGGTCTAGGAGAAGGTGTCCCTGTCCATGGGAGAATGGTTGCAACTAGATGAACTTAAGGGTCCCTTCCAACCCAAATTGTTCTGTGTTTCTGTGATATGAATCTGCTAGCGCTGGCCCTGTTAAGTTATTTAAAGGGGAAAAAAGATCTAAGAAAGAGTGGCAATTAGAAATAAATGGAGTGGTAACTGTGCTCAGCTGTCAGTGCACACCATGGCAGCCATGCTGGTAGGGGTGCCCCACTGTGCCCTGCCTGCAGGGAGCAAGTCTGTCCATCACCAGAAAGAAGCACTGAGCTCTCAGTGGTTGTATGTGCTAGCAAACATTTTCAAACTCTACTCTGTGTGCAGTATAAAACTGTATGGCAACATACCTTGCTGTATTTTCAGCTGAATCGTACATCTGCAGGAGAAATGAAATCCTGGGCCCCCAGGCCCAGGAAGAAGTTCAAGAAAGACTTAAAAGACACCAAAAACTCAACTGTATTAGTTGTCAGATATAAGTTCTGTTACCTTCTTGGAGGCCAGGCACTTGGTAGTGGTTTATCACAAGTAGGTTGGTTCTTCCAGTGCAAGGCTGGCCACGTATTGTACTGCAAATTCCACAGAAGGAGCGGGACAAGCAAAGCCTGTTAATTTATCATGTTCCTTTTGTCTTTTCTTGGAGAAAAACAAACGTGGTTCTAGCCTTTCTGGATTGCTCTGCATCAGGATTGGGCCATACAGGAATCAGAATTTTGTAAAGGGGTCTGGCATGGCGTTTGCAAAAGGGACAAGGTTTTCTAAAGACAGTGGAATTACACTGACGTGAGTAATTAGAACTTGAGAAATGATATGATACCCCTTATGCTAAACAGTATATTAAATTGAAAAAGGAGGATTTGGTGCCTTTAGTTATGCTGATAAGTCATTCCTTGTATTTACCACTGAAATTTATGCTACATTCTTCTTTTTCTCTACTTTTTCTTGCAATTGCGTGTTTATGTTTAAAAATAGTCACTGTAGTGTATTTGATCCCTCCCAGCTCTGTCAAGTGTTGTGTTGATTAGGAAGTTTCTCTGAAATGTGTTGCTGAAGGGCACTATCTGGGACTGATAAAGTGCTACTGGAGATTTATTACCAGAACATTTCATCTGCTTGAAAAGTGCAATTAATATATGGTTTTGCCTTGGGCTGTTCATCCTGCAGCTACAAAATCCAGTGCTGCCTGTCCAAGGATTTGCTCTCCTGTTGGTGGAGACATGAGTCCTCACAGAGAGTTGTACACAGTGGTGCTTCATGGTCCCATGTGTGAGATGCATAATCCCAAGAATATTGTGCTGTCATGTTGAAGAACTTTCGTAGTACTTGGTCTGACCCCAAATTACTCTATAAGCCTTGTCCATTAACAGTTTTGTCAGTGCACATTCCTTTTGCAGGTGCTAAATGGCATTGTTTGTGTTTTGTTCTGTAGCATGAATGCTGAACCCAGTCATGCACTGAAAAGCTCCGCAGAACATTAATCTGTTAGAGTTTTGCGCGTATATCTTCTTTAATCATTTCTGTCCCAGGTCCAGATCCAAGCTCAGTGAAGCCCATGTAGTGTGTCTCTCTTCCTGGTGATTTCACAGTTTAATGGATACTCTCTCAGGAAATCTTTGAGACCTGAAGCAGTCTGTTTATTGTGGAACCAGAGGAATGTGGCAAAACACTGTACAAGAGCTAGTCCAGGATTAATACTTCCACTTTTGTTACAATGACCTCTTTCTACCACTTAGAAGATTCAGTAGGCTATACATTTTTAACATAGTATGTACTGGTGTTCACTAGACAATAACTATATAGTTCACACTGACAGCCATACCATAAATGTGTCTGTTTGAATTACTAATATTGGACTAAACCACATGTATGTGAGTATTTATGCCTGCATACTTGTATCAGTAAAAAAAATAAAACTGTATACTTGTTGGTATAGAAAGTAGAAAACTTTCTGGTGCGTGCCCTTATGTGGTGTCTGTGTTCTGGAGCTCTCTTCTGGTGAGTTTTCCTCAGCTTGGCATTTCTGCCCTTCTGCTGGCTGTCACCAGCCTCACAGCAGAGAGGAAAACTGCTTCTTCCCTCCCTCCTTTTTGCATATAAAAAGATGTGCAGAAAGGCTGCATTCTGCAGCAGAGCTGTTTTCCTCCCAGGTGAATATACTGACTTATTTTTACGATTATTTTTAGCAGGTGACACAAAATAATAAGGTTTGGATTTTTTTTTTTTTCTGTATGGAGTTTAATATCTGGTTTAAATATCCAAAAAGGAACTAATAATTTTGGAGAGAAAAAGGAGAAGGTATTGCATATTAAATGAAAGATGTATTGATTGACTGGCAAGGAGTATTGTTTTGTAAATACAATACTGCCATATTTTAATAAAGCATTGTCTAAAATAAGTGCTTTAGAAAAGGTGAAGAGGGCTAAGAAAAAAAGAAAGCAAAATTTGTAGTTTTTCAGTAGTTTTGTGCCACCAGTTGAACACAATGGTTCTCCCATTAATATAATAATCACTTCAAACAGATGGTCCTGTGCAGGGCTCAGGGTTCGACTTGATCCTTGTGAGTCCTTCCAACTCAGCTGATTCTGTGATTCTGTGAAAAGTGAATAAGCAATTTGGGTAGATCTATAAAAACTGAGTAGTAGGTTGTCATTATTTTGGAATATATCCTGTCACTGCTCCCAGCAGGGAGGTGTGGAAGGTTTTTTAAGCACACAAATATTTTGCTCTTTGACCTTAACTCTGAATGTGGGAAAACAGATCATCACTGTAGATTCCATATTTTGATGTCAAAATCAACTAGCAGCTGCCCTGAAATAACACTAACATTTACATGTTAATATTTTCTCTCAGTTACTTGCAAAGTAGCTGACACTGATTCCATGGCCTACTAAAGCTGTGTAATAAAAATAGAGTGGTGGGTTTTTTTTCTTTGCAGAATCTTCTCTCTTCTTCATTTGAAAATAGAGAGAAACGAAACAAAATTTTTATCTGTAGCAATGACTTAAAAAGCACAATTTTGTGTTTTCTTTCATCAGTGAATTAAAAATTGCATTTAGACATTTGGCCCTCTTTGCATTTTTACATTGATCCACAGCGTGGATGCATTTCATCTCACACCTCAGATACTGTCGTATGTGAGCTTGCATTCTGAGATATCCCAAATGACTTTTTAATTAGTTGTTATTATTACGCAGATCATAGATTTTTTCCCAGTGCACAACCACGTTGATTTCATCACTTATCTCATCTCTCATGTGAAATAATCCTGACTGCTGTTGTGACTGTCTTGCACTTCTTACCCTCACTTCTGCTGGCACGGACCAACCTTGCTGTCCGGTTTCCATTACCTTCAGCATCACAGCCACACTGACCTGTGTGCACCTGCAGTGTTGCTATTACGTTGTGTTTTGGGTTTTTTTAATGTCTTTTTTCATATTTTGTTTTCTTTTTTTCAGAATTCCCTGGAACATTACATCCCCCCGTTCAGAGCTTGGACAAGAGTTTGGCATTCCACTTTTGCAGGTACCTTTTTGAATTAATACGGGCACTTTTTACCAGGGGTTGATAAAAGGAGGGCAATTCCAGAAGGACTTGACCATGTCTTCTGTCTGTCTGGGGAGGTATGTTCTGTTCATTAGCTGCAAATATATAGCTCAGTACTGTTTCAGAAAGATTGAGGCTTGCTCTTGCTGGCCTCAGTCACGCAGCAACGTATGTGTCAATGTTGCAGAATCCTTTTTGGAAGTACTCCAGTAGTTCCAGGCTTTTTCTCACCTTCTATTCCCAACCTGTACTTTGGTTACAGTCAGTAACCTACCATTCAGTAGGTTGTTTTACGATGGAGACCTCCAGTGCAAGTGAACAATTCCAGCCTTAGTCCTCCAGAGCTGTTACTTATTCCTGTTATCTGAATCCTTTTTGGAAGTATTCCAGTAGTTCCAAGCTTTCTCCCATCCTTTATTCCCAACCTGTTCTTTGGTTATGAATTTTCCATTCAGTAGATTGCATTAACTTTTTTATATAGTAGACTTTCACTGCAAGCAAGCACTTGCAGCCTTAGTGCTTCAAACCTTTCTGTTACTTATTTGGTTGTTAGCACAGAATGGGTAAGGTTGGAAGGAACCACAGTGGGCCTTTAGTGAACCCATGCTGGCTTGCTGACTACTCCTGATCCCCTTCTTGTCATCCGTGTGGATAGAGATGGCCTCCAGAATGAGGCGCTTTATCACCTTTCCAGGGATGAAGGTGAGGCTGACTGGCTGGTAGTTTCCTGTGTCCTCTCTCCTGCCCTTTTTGGAGGCTGGATTGCTTTCTTCCAGTCCTCAGGTAAAAGTCCATCCAGAACATGCTGAGTTTGATCTCAAGGTCTGAGCAGGAGATTAGCATGGCAGCTTAAAATCTTATTCATCACTAAAGCTCCTAAACAAAAGCGGGAAATCCAGTAACTCATCCAGTGGAAAGTGGATGTATTTAACGAGGATGTGTTTACTCATCCTCGGTAAATACAAGGAAACCAGCTGAAACCCAGAAAGGCAGGAGGGTAGTACCCAGCTGTACATGTGGCACATTGTACCAATGGTTGTACAATTCTTAAAGACTAATAGGGCACTTCTGGTATTTCACTGTAGCAAAGAGAAAAATCAGCAATCGATGTCTTATGTGTCGTGTGTCAAATCAGCAACACACTTCACTAGTATTTAGTTTTAATTCCACTCAGTAGAAAGCATTTCATGTTCATTTGTTTCCAATCACCATATTTGGCTCGAGAACATAAATGTGCATCGTGTGGGGTCTTAATAATTATTGCTGCTGTTTTATTTAAAGACAAAAATGTTAAGTCTGAGAGTACACATGGCTAATTTAAGGGTAAAAATCTGTTCCCAGAATGTAGAAATCATCTCAGAAACCATTTCTGTCAGCTGAGGAAATTAGGAACTTGAAATTCCAGATACGTTGTACTATGAAATTAAAGGCAGCAAAACCATTTTAGCTGTGCCAAGGACTGACACCAGGAACATTCAAAGCCTAGTAAGGGATCTGTGTTAAATTTTGTGATCACAAGTTAACCTACACTAATTTTACAGTCACATTTCATATTTTTTCCTTCCTGATGTCATTCTGTATAGTATTTATTTCTCCTGTCCTAGAAATGGGATTCAATGTTTTGTGTTCATACAGAGGCTGCAGGAGATCTGTAGTTTTGTTGGAAATACATTGCTCATTTTGCCAACAGAAAAGATTGGATTTGTGATTTATGATGAAAGCAGCATTCAGTCCTGGCTGCGGTGACAACGCCAGCCCTCCCTTTTTATTAGTTTTTAAAGAATGTCTCGGAACCTGTCCAGCTCAGTGATGAGCTGGTGCTAATGATGGAGGGACATCTTCAGTGGAGGGACGTGGTGTGCTGGCAGGGCGGCTGGACAGGAGAGATTGCCTTTATGCAGCAGGCACAAGCAGATGAAAAAGCATCAGGTGTCCTCACTTGAGGCTTGGCACCTTGGTTGCTGCATCATATTATTTTTATGGCTTAGGCAGCTTAGCCATGAGATACTCTAGTTCAGTTAACTACTTAAAAAGTTTGCTGATTCTCATCTCTCAATAAGTTAAAGCAGTAGCTATAAACTTGGGATACCTCTATCCAATTTCTAGGTGTGGCATAAATTTCCTTTGTTACTCTGGGCAGTCCTACTCAATCCTGTATTTAATTTTCAGTTTGGAGATTTACCTTTGTTGACAAAGAGGGGAGATCCATTAATGTGACTGTGTATCACAAATCTTAGAGGAGAACAGATATGTAGCAATGGTGGAGTAGTCTGATACTAGAAGGGAGAGTAGGAATGGAGGAATAGTTAAAACAGTCTTTTTAAGCAGTAGTCTATGGCACTTGTGAGGACACAGTCAAGAGCATCTCTAGTTCAGGACTCCCAAGGGACAAGCCAATTGTGTATCTCATTGTGCAGTCAACACATAAAGGGAGCTGAAGCATTGCCAAAAGGAAGAACTGGATTTACTGAGTTTGCTGGATTTACTCCACTATTCATTTTCCTCTTGAAAGTGCACAGGGTTCTGAGGCAGGTATCCTTCTGTGATCTCCTCCTGCCAGCCACTCCACTGCCAGCTCCTTCACCACCAACCTTCTAGGCTCGGTGGACAGTCTGCCCCAGGCACAGGGGCTGCAGGAGAGAGATGCATCTCTTCGCTGCAACCCTAAAGTGGTCTGGGTTAATGGACAGATGGGGGAGGAAGGGGGGGATGACGGACATTGGGAAAAAATTGCATCATCTCTCTTTAAACCTATGACATTTAACAAGAACTTTGCTTCAGGAGGAGCTTGATGCCAGCTTTGTTCCTTCTGCAGGAGTGTGAGAGAGGAGAGGAGGAAGAGCACTTGAAGTGTCTCTTCATTTTTCCTATAATCCTTCTCTGTCCTTGTAATCTACTCCTGCTTCCCAGCCCACTGTTTGGTGCTCCCTTCTTTATTCTCAACACCTTTTCCTCTCCGCTGTTTCCCTGGTAATTGAATTTCTCCTCTACCTCTCCATGTCTTGCCATTTCTTGCTCTTCTTGTGTCTGTCTGCACACTGAATTACAGGTTTAGGGGTTTTTAGTTTGTTTGTTTTCATGGAGCTGGGATGCCTTAACTCTGCTTTCACTGCCTTCCTCTTCCATTTAATTAAATACACTGATCATGACTCAATACAGCTTTTGTTTTCTTTAAAATGATGAGAGTTTTGAGGTTTCTTAAAATTTGTGGTCAGGAAGAATTTCCATCATAACTTCATCAGACCCCTCAGTTATGCAAAAACTATTCAAGAGTCTGATTTCTTAAGTGCAGCTTTCTAAGAACATTGTTTTAGTGAAGAGTTGTAATTTAAACAGTTATACAAAAACACGCTCTGAGTGTCAAACTTGGATATTAAACAAAAGTTTGGATGCTCATGAACAAGTAGGTAACTGAAGGTTCATCTTCAGCTAAATAGGTTGCTAACAGTTTGTAAAGATCTGTAGTTTTAACATGTGGGCTCTGCGGGCACGTATTTCCCATAGAGAAATCAAGAAGGAAATATACTCAGTATATGTTCTAACATCTCTGCCTCAACAACTGCAGTAAATACTGGTAGTCTGAGGCATTACACACACAAGCATGTGATCGTGCTGTGCACATGCAGTGTAGCACTTGTGTTGAGTTATACAGCTAAATCATTGATTGCAGCATCATAATAACATAGAAGACCTACATTGTGTTGTGTTTCAGGGCCAAAATTGGTATTTTTAAACATCTGCTTGAAGTAGTATTAAATATACAGACGTGTCTTCGAGGCGTAGTGTTATGCAGTCCTTCAGTTTTCTTTCTTGACTTCTAACACCGTGTATCTTCAGACTTGAGGCTGAAGAAAAGGGGAACGAACTATTCTGTGGTATGGGAAAATGTTGTCTTCTCTAGAGAAAAATATAACTATACCAGTCAAAAAATAAGAGATCGTTCATGAAGTTGTGCTGAAGGTTGCAGTGCCCTGAAACACTGCTGTAAGTCATGTTTGGTTTGTTTTTGTTGGATTTTTTCCCAACTATTAGTTTTAAAAGACTTTATTTGTTGTTACATAGTCAAAATTTTTATAGTATATTTGTTTAAGAAAAAAAATGTGCAATATTTCATATGTGTAAAGTTTCAATGCTTAGAAATGGTTAACTAGGCTTAGAAATGGTTAACTCAGGGCAATTAGATGGTAGAAATTACTTTAAAATAGCCGTGCTGACCCTACTGCAGTAATATCTCATATTACAGAAAAAGCTGTTTAATACAAAGAGCTTTGGCAAAAAAGATTCCACAACTAATCAGAAGAGCAGCTCAAAGTCCGCAGTTGTCAGAATGAGGCCACTCTATTGTACTGCCTTGGCTGAACATTATCGTTTTTCTAAAGGTACTGGTTTTACCATACTCGTTTTTCAATTGTGCCTACTGAACTACTTATTAAAGGTGGCCTTGTAGGTTCTTAATATCAGTAAAAGACGTTAATTGAATATATTTTAATATTTATTTCTAAAGATGAAACAGTTGTGTTCATGTGTAGAGTTTATTAAAAAGAATTTTCCATGTAACAAGATAAGTTGTTAGGAGAGAAAATATTTAAATATCTATAATCTAGATGGCTTTCTGGTTTCTTGCTTGTAAAATTTTGGCAAGTAATATAAGAAATACTGCATAAACTTGGGCACTATTTCTTTCAAATATGTTTTCAGAACATGTAAGAAACTTCAGAAGGATGTTATTAAGCTTTGTTTTGAAACAATGAAAATAAGTATTTTTAAAAGATTCTCTTTCTAATTAAATTTCTAAAGGAAAGGAAATTTTAAGTATGATATGGTTTTTTTTCCATTTATAATAGCTTTTTGTGGTTTCTGGTTTTTTGACTGCATAAATTGTTGGAATTGTTCCTCTTTTCTGGGCTGTATTTGTTTACTTTGGGTCTTCATGTATTTGAACACTTCTGGAGTTTTGCAGGGTTAGTAACTGCAAGTGG